CTTCAGAGAGTGCAATTAACAATCTACAAGCTGTGTTAAATGTTGTCCATAGAATTCTCATGAATTTAAGACTTAATGCAAACAAGAAAATCTGTCTTTAAGTCACCATATCGAGTGTCTTACAAAAGAACTGAGGGTGGAATCAGGTTATTTTTCCTATATCGCTTGGAGGAAACTCATTAGAGCAACATTTCTATCAGTAATTGACGACGGGATATTCTTTATAAGCTTGTTATCTCATCCTGAACATCATAGAGTGTGGGGAATGACATACAGGCAAAGAGCCATGGGTCGGACCAGAACCCAGGTAGTACATCTGGAGAAGAACAGCCTCTGTACGTGGGGCGCATCCCAGCTGCAAGGCCATCCGTGCCGCATGTATGTAGGGCTAGAAGCCTCTGCACATGGGGCTTAGACTTAATTAACTTTGAAACAATATCGAGGCATGGAATTTTAATTTAATTTAATCAGGTAGCTTGAACTACTACAGTTTTAGAATTGAAAAGCTCAAACGAAATAGGGAGCATTATTTTACTTACAATTTAAACTATTTAGAGAGATGAAATGTTGTATTACACAAAAAGAACTGTTATCCTATAAAACATTTTTATGAACACTTTGAATTAATATTTATTTCCAGAATGTGGACATTTTTATGATTATTGGGGATTTTCTTGATCTTGATTTTCCATGAAGCGCAGTCAGTCATCCGGACGCCAGGTGGCGGTAAAGATCTTCTCCGTAACGTCAAACCAATAAGAACAAGCTGACGCTGTGTCGTCACTTCCTCATATTATTTCCAACATGGAGTCCAGCGGTTTGAAGTTGAATTTCTGGGAGAACGGACCAAAGCCCGGACAGTTTTACTCGTTTCCCGGTGGCAGCAGCGGGCCGGGCACAGCATGCGGACCCGTCCGACACACACTGTGAGTGGCCCGAACCGACGGAACCGGGAAGTTCTGACGATAACGTCACGACTCTGTCGGTTTCGGTTTTAGCTTCGCCGCAGTGCTGTATCATCATGGAGACATGCTAGCTCATTATGCTAAGCTACTACGTAGTTTACATCCGTTTCAATGGTTTATCTAATGTAAAATACATTTCTACGACTTATTATGTTTGATTAGTAAAAGTTAGACTCTTTGTTACGTCTCTGTTTGTCTTTGTTTCTGTTCTGCTGACTAACTGTTAGCCTCGTTAGCCTCTCCTGTTCCTCAGTGTTTAATTACAGTAAAATGTTTAACAGTGTCGTAAACTTTCATAAAACTGTTATCAGTGATTTATTAAAGCGTGATAATGATTCAATATTTAATTATAAGTTCTATTTGATCAGACTGCAAATTGAACTTAACTTAACTACTTAATGATAAATAAATAATATATATACTTAATGATAAATAAATAATATATATACTTAATGATAAATAAATAATATATATACTTAATGATAAATAATGATAAATAATAATGTTTGTATAGCGCTGAAGAGACTGAACTTCTAAACCTCTCTCTCTCTCCCTCTCTCTCTCTCTCTCTCTCCCTCTCTCTCTCTCTGTCTCTCTCCCCCCCTCTCTCTCTCCTCCCCCTCCTCTCTCTCTCTCTCCCTCTGTCTCTCTCTCCTCTCTCTGTCTCTCTCTCCCTCTCTCTCCCTCCCTCTCTCTCTCTCTCTCTCTGTCTCTCTCCCCCCTCTCTCTCTCTCTCTCCCCCTCTCTCTCTCTCTCTCCCTCTGTCTCTCTCTCCCTCTCTCTGTCTCTCTCTCCTCTCTCTCTCTCTCTCTCTCTCTCTCTCTCTCTGTCTTCTCCCCCTCTCCTTCTCTCTCTCTCCCCCCCTCTCTCTCTCTCTCCCCCCTCTCTCTCTCTCTCTCCCCCCCTCTCTCTCTCTCTCTCTCTCTGTCTCTCTCTCCCCCCCTCCTCTCTGTCTCTCCCCTCTCTCTCTCTCTCCCCCTCTCTCTCTCTCTCCCCTCTCTCTCTCTCTCCCCCTCTCTCTGTCTCTCTCTCTCCCCCTCTCTCTCTCTCTCCCCCTGTCTCTCTCTCTCCCCCCCCCCTCTCTCTCTCTCCCCCCTCTCTCTGTCTCTCTCTCCCCCCTCTCTCTCCCCCTCTATCTCCTCTCTCCCCCCCCTCTCTGTCTCTCTCTCTCTCTCCCCCCTCTCTCTGTAGTAACCCGATGGTAACTGGACGTCGGTGCTCGGGGTGAAGTTTACTGGTGGCGTGATCATTGCGGCCGACATGTTGGGCTCGTACGGCTCACTGGCTCGCTTCAGGAACGTCTCCCGCCTCATGAAGGGCAGTTTGCTGATATCACAACATCCTCAGCTGTAGATGTGAAGCAGTACCATGTGTTGACTGTTGTTTGTTGTGCTTCAGGTAAACAGCAACACCATCCTGGAGCTTCAGGAGACTATGCTGACTACCAGTACCTGAAGCAGGTCATCGAACAGATGGTGTAAGCTCACTCAGACGCTACAGGAAGAAAACGGCTTCTCTGCTGTGCTCTAAACTTT